TCTACATGGCTCAAAACTTCCCATGTACTTAGGACAGTGCCAACAATAGTAGTGACACCAGAAGCACATAAGCCAATGTCTAGAAATGCCCTCATTAGGACTGCATTTTGAACCCCACCTCCCAGGCAAAAGCACTTACAGGGCTGGACGATTAGATGAGTCCCTTTGCCAAAGGTGAGTCTGTTAGCACTTCCTCCTGAATACGCACTCTGGGTCAACCCTTTACGTAAACCCCTCTGCCAGAAAAACTCATGCCCTGAAGTTCCCAGAACCTCCACAGCTGCTCTGAAACCCACAGACACCAGGTACAGCTACTAGCCCTGGTCATTGCTACTGGTCACTTCTCCCTCTCCTCTGTTGCTGGCATAAAAGCTTGAAACACACATAACCAGAGTAATTGCCCTGGAGATGATGACTTCAGTTTCTTGACACACTGTCAACCAACTGCCTCACTGTTGGTTTCTTGATGAGTGTGGACCTGGCCACATGACCCTCATGTAGGAGAGATGGGAAGAATGGAGGGCCCTTAGCCACAAATATTAAAAGGAGTATGAAAAGACACCATGGTTTGTTGATCTGGAATCCAAAGGAGGACAACTCAAATGTCAGGCTGGAACAAATAATAGGAAAAGGCATAAAGATCTTACTTTCTGCTCAGACTTACTGGGCCTAACTGCTAAACGAGTCCCGGTCCCAAAAGTCAGCTTATCTCCGCTGCTTTTCTTCTCACTGCTGTCAGCAGCTTTACAGAAACAGGGCAGACACCTGTCACCAGTATCTCCTCACCAACCTGTCTACCCAGGCTTCTTCATGACACTGATCCCACAAATGCCCTACAAAGTCCAGCAGTGTGTAGCTTTTCTTACACATCTCTAAGTCGCAGGCTCAGGATAAATCTCTAAGCTCAAAACTACAGATTGAGGTTTCCATTTTGGAAGTCTAGACACCCAAATAGCAAGCACTGTGGTCCACAGAGATGCTGACAATTTTTTTTTTTCAAATTTAACTGAATTTTAAAACTGTGGGTCTCATCAGTGAATGGATGTGATAAATGCTCTCAAAGGCATGGAAATTCTTAATGAATCACACTAATGAAATGCTTGTGTTGCACCTGGAATTTCACTTTTCCTTTCTTTAGAATCAAATACTTCTCAGCCAGAAAAAATTGATTTAATATGCAATGAAACCCAGGTTGGGACTTGAGTGTGTTTTATACTCACAAGGCTTGACTCTCAGAATGGTTCCTGTGCCGAAGATCAGCTTGTTTCCATAGTCCACACAGCATCAAACTCCTCTACAAAAACAGTGGTTGAGCGTGGGTAGTGTGTGGGGTGGGGTCAAGTTACTTGGTTCTGGAAACAGAGGACTGTTTCACTTTGCATTTAGGATCTGTTGATATTTGCCCAAGAGGCTGAAGACATTGTAATAATTGCAGGAACTTGTAAAAGTAAAAAGGCCAATTGTTTATTGGAATTTGGCTTCCATCTGCTCTTTGCTGCTTGGACTAGGGTAAATGCTACAACTCCCCCAAGGTTTACTGTATCTTTTCTTTCAGGATTTTTCTAGTCCTCTAGCCAGAATCTTCTTTCATCTCATGAATTCTAATCATAGCCCCTTGTTCCAAATAATTCCATTCTGCTGTGATGTCCTCTAGTTTCAAAAACCTTAGCAACTACCAACCACCAACAGCTTCTGGAAGCACGACTTGGAAAACGAACTTGTTATAGCTGGCTTCCAGGTAAAGTTTTTAAATATTTGGGGCTCTGGTTTAGAGCCCTCTGACTGTCCCTTGCTGGGTAGGACATTCTTATGCTGAGTTGCTCTTAGTAGCAGTGGGATTTTTCCCTGCGTGTGTTACGTTCTCACCTGGGGACAGTTCCCTGAACGGTTGTGGCTACTATAGCACCTGTGGGAGGCAGCAGACTGACCGTCACTGGGTCCCTCCAGGTCCCACGGCTCAGTTCTGCTGCAGTCTCACTTTGTAAGTCTGGAACTCTCTGAGCCCCCTGTCCTTAGATACAGAGTGGGAAAGACTGTTTTCCTATCTTATCCAGAGAGAAGAAAAAGACTTTGATGTTTAAAGGTGCTTTATCCAAGCTAGCTGAGAGGTGCTTTGTAATGTAATTGTCACTATAAAAGTCTGACCTACCCAAATCCTCAATACTCATGCCTTTAATTTCTAATGCAGCAAAACATAAAAAAGATTATTCTAGGCAACTGAGTGGTTAAGACAGAAAGGTTCCATACCTCCAGTTCTCGTTCTATTTTGTGTGGTTGTCTTTGATTACGAAGTGAACATATTCAACTTTTCCACAGCTTTTAATTGCAGGTGCAAAAGAATCTATTTGCCCATGTTTCTCACATTCTTCTACCCTGTGTATATATATCCAGTATTCTATCTATCTATCTATCTATCTATCTATCTATCTATCTATCTATCTATCTATCTATCTATCTCAGAAATAGTTTTTAACAGTTAATTCTGTGCCTCACCCAAATTGTCATTAACTAAATGCAGATGTGCTGCCACACTAATAAACTTCATTGGAAAAAAAGAAAAAATCAAACCCAGAGATTTCCAAGTTTAAACTTTCCCCTTGAGATCAGTGCTTGGTGTTCTATTTAGATAATCCTGCCCCGCCTAGAGCACTAGCTCTTAGCACCTTTCCAGATACCTTGCCATTTGCGGAGAGAGACACAACACTGAATTAGTTTTGTAAAATTATACTGCCTGACGTTTCGTCTGCCTGCCTCTCTGGGTTTCTTGGTTTGCTTGTCTCTTTGATATCCTATGTTTCTACCATTTCTCCCAAATACTTGCAGTACTCAAAGTTAAAACTATCACACAAGATAAAAGTGAAGATGCAGTCATTCTGCCTGAATTCTCTTCACATGCCACATTAGCACTTGATGGCAGCAGCAAAAACAGAATTGTGAAGCATTTTTTCTAGTTTTGAATTAAATAGTCAGGACTGGAGTTCCCCTGGAAAACACAGATATTTGGTTGCTGCCTGTCTCTACCAGTTCTGAACAAGGACAGATGAAAATTCTGCAAGCCCACATGTCTACTATGATCCCCAGAATCTTATGCAGCCTGATTTCCTGACCAAGGATGAAGAACTTACTGGGTATAATGGTGAGTCTTGTTCCAGTCCCAAAGGTTAATTTCTCATTTCCAAAGTTAGATACACAGTGTTCTAAGTCATTACAAAAACCATCACTCTAAACTCTCCAAACTCTACTGCAAACCCCTGCTCCATTTCCTGCAAATCTTCCTGCAATGCTTCCACAACATCAAAGGCACCAGTGACCCTTTCCTACCATTTCCTGCTGGACAACTGAGAGAAACTAGAATGAACGACTGTAATTAGGAGAGGCTTGACATGTGCAATCTCTTTTGATTTTCCTGCCACATTTTTCTTCAGAGAGAAACAGAAATCCTCTTTCTCTCTCCACGTGGTATCTATCAGTGCACCCCCCAGGTCTAAATACAAGAGTGAGTGTGGACCCCCCTGCCATCTTTCTCATCCCTTTACACCATCCCATAGTCGGTTTTCTGTAAAGTCACCTCATTTCCCTTCTAGCCTCCTAGTCCCTCTCCTCTCAGTTGGGAATGTCCCTCCATTCTCTGCTCCTGAGGCTTGTGCCACAAAGGGCCCAGCTTCTCTGGTTGGCACAGATGTGGGGGTGACCTAGAGAGGCCAGCTATCACTGCAAGTGACATCGCCTGCTCCCCCACTTCAGGAATGTTCAAGGAACATTCTCTGGGTTTGGTTTTTTTGTTTTCTTCCAATGAAGTTTATCAGTGTGGCAGCACATCTGCATTTAGTTAATGACAATTTGGGTGAGGCACAGAACTAACTGTTAAAAACAACTATTTCTGAGATAGATGATAGTTAGATAGATAGATAGATAGATAGATAGATAGATAGATACTTCAAGGAATGAAATAAAGACCTGTCCAAGCATAAATCATTCTCAGGTGTGGGGGTGCCTCTTTACTCTGGTCCACATAAAGTTATACCTAGAAGCAGAGAAATAGAGTAGCAGACTTTGACAGCTGTTTCTGCAATTTAAAGGGTTTGCTCAACACAATGGTGATGGAAAATTTTCTTTGACTTACTTGGAATGACTGTCAAACTTGTCCCTGTCCCAAAATACAACTGGTTACCGGTGTTCCACTGTGATAGGAAGCTCAACAAAAACCAGGCAGAAGAGACAGCCAGAGCTTACACCTGGGGCCCCGCCAAGCGACAGACCAAAAGGCAGAGACCGGCAGGCAGGCAGGCATCTCCTTCCCCTGTGCAGGAGCAGGAGCAAGGGTATTACTGGGAAGGAGCTCCAGGGCTTAGAGCAGCTGTGACCATGTGCAGCTGGAGGGACTCATTCCTCCTGAGAGGGGATTAAAAGGAAGGCTAATGTGCATCTTGTGCGGCTTGCTGTCTAATTAAAGATGTAGGTCCATTTGTTTTATGCTCGGGCATTTAAAAAATTCTTTTTCTTTTAAGACTTAATTTCTCTCCTGATGATCATATGATTCTGAAGTGGATTTTAATCAGGACTCCTTATTACATCTTTGTACTTTATTTCTTTGTGAACCTTATGGAACAATTCATCTTCTCTACATTAACCCCGTATGGGGCTCTGATCACCTTGCTTCTTTCTGACCTGCCTCATTTCCCTAGCACCCCCATCATGCAATGTCCATTGCTTATTCCCTCACCTCTGTTTATCCCCCATGTGCAGTGAGAACATGCTGACAGACCACAGGTTGTTTTTCAAATTGCCACGTTCAAGTCCCATGTTATCTATGCTACCTTTTAAGGACTAAACCTATATTTGCTATTATGTGATCTGTTTTTCTGATCGGAGTCAGTGTATCTTGATTCTCTCAATTTTGTGTCCTCAACCACCATGCCATCTGCAAAGCCATTTAAGCCCTAATGCATGATACTGTTAGCCCCACCGCACTCCACAGGCAGCATCCCAGGGAGACTTACTTGGAATGACTGATAAGCTTGTCCCCCGCCCAAACATCAGCTTGTTGTAGGAGGTTGTCACACAGCCATCCAAACCTTTACAATAACTGACAGGTGGCTCTCAAAGATTTCAGAGCCCAGTCTTTCTTGATGCCATTTCAAAAGGCATCTCAGGTACCATTTGGCATTACCTATAGGATCTGTGAGTTGGAGCTACAGTGAGGCCAGATTCTGTTGGGAATGGTAGGAAACTTGCTAGGATTATATGCAATACATACTTCTTCACCTTTGTGTCATTACAATTTCTCATATGCTGCGGGTTTTAAAAAGCATCATTGAACTCCCTGTCTCCTCCTCCCTTCTCTATTATTCCCCAATTCACACAACATCCCCATCTGCATCTCATTTCCGTCTCTAAGCCCTAGCTTGGTGACACCAGGTCCTCAGGCACCATTGATCTGCTTTCTCTGAGACAGCATATGCTCACCGGCTCGCATGATTAAAGAAGTGGAAATGCCAGGCTCTCAGAGGCTGAGATCTGGGCTCCCAACTCCTTATCTTTGGTCAATATATTGTTCTCATTTGTCTGCCTAATGAAGAGCTGACCTTTCTAAGTGGATGCATTTTGCTGAAATGACAACTGCCAGAGAGCTAACAACAAAGGCCGAGCTCTGAAGGCAGTTTTGGCCTTTCAGATCCCTTTGGCATATTTCAGTCAATAGGATCCTTAGCTCAAATGTCAGTCTCTTAATGTTGGCTCCCACACCACTGGGCCTGGAGAAACTCAACAGAAAATGGGCAATATTGGTCCAACCTGCACCCTGCTCATTAGAACCAGACTTCACTTGGAGGCATCTCACACATTCTAGATGATCACCACAACTCAATATTCAGCCTTGTAGTGGCACGGGCATATTCCAAATCCACATCCCCCTGGCATGAATTTATGCTGCCACTGAGTGGAGCAGATACAGGTGGCAACGTCAGGTGGCCTCCTCCATGCACACTGAACTGGGATTGTACTATCTGCCTGACCAACTATGCCTGCCCAAGGGCAGCTACTCCAGAAATACAGGGACTTGACTCATCCCTTTGGCATAAGAGGACACTGCCCTTGATAGCGATCCTAGGAAAACAGAGTGTTCTGTAATAGCAACTGGAGTGATGACATCCTTCTCTGACACCCACCTCCCATCTCAGTCTTATCACACTGCAGTGAAAAGTATATTCCTGCTTTTCAACTTTGTTTCCCTTTCTGTCTCTTGTTCCTTTCATTTATCATTTCTGAGCACCCACGGGGCTCCAGATTCTCTTTAATCCATTTCCATTTGACTCCCTTAGAATCCCTACAGGAAAGAGCCAAAAGGTCTGAAACAGGGAAGGGAGCAAAAGCACATAAGGAACACTGTGAGTTTAGGTCTTTCCAGCTTGCTTGACTTCACGGTTAGTCGTGTCTCCTTTCCAAATATCAGCTTCTCATAGCTGTCACGCATCTCCCTGCTTCAGGGAGTTTTACAACGACTGACAGAAGGAACTTTATGAATCTTAAAAACCAGTCAAGTTTCTGTCTCTTCCCAGTGGGGTGCAGCGGCGAACACACCAAAGCCAAATCTTTCTATCTGCTCTAATTATCAGCCAGGATACAAGTTACCACGAGGAGAAAGGTATTAAGCCGTGTATCTGAAACTCTTTGGAATTAATTGTAATCCCTTGCCTGGTGGTTTCAGCGATAGGGAATGGACACAGTGGATGTTTATTTCTGTCTATCCTTTCTCTCCCCCTCTCTCTCTTTGTAGTGTTGCATCTATAGAAGCAAAAGGAGACAACAGAGAGGAAACATAGAGGGATTTGAAATAAGACCTGAGATTCCCATTCAGTTTTCATTTTTTCCCTCTCCGCTTTCATTTAAAACCCATTCTGAACCAAATACCACATACCTATTCAAACCCTGCTCTCAATTTTCCTCTTTATTGTGGATGATGCTGATGGAAACGGCCTCGGCTATACCAAGCATAATTGAAGATTGAAGATTGACATAAGGAAGGACTTTCTGACAGGGAATGCCACTAAACATTAGAATAGGTTACTCAGGGGAGTCATTTGGAAAGGGTGACTTCCCCCTCAAAAAAGTTAGGGCATCACCTCCATAGAAGACCCTGAAAGCAGGAAAGATTCTGACTTTCCAGGGTCAAGGTCAGCTGTACACGCAGCAGGGAGACAGACCTAACAACTCAGGGTCCAAAAGGAAATCTATAAATATTGAGATTAAAGAAGAGAAAGGACCTCAGAGGACACCATTTAACTTTAAGCAATATCTGGTTCTTTGAAACCTGACACTGGTGTGAAATTCTAGAATTTCTAGTATACTGCTGTGTCCTGTTACACTTACTTGGATAGACAGTCAAGATGGTCCCTTGTCCAAATGTCAGCTTTCCATAGCCAGCACCACCAGCATTAGCACTGTACAGGAGGCCTTTACAAGAACCCTAGGGAGACTTCTGAAGCTCACAGACTTCCTCCTCTTTTTATTCTGAGGAGAATGAACTCACCCAAAGGGGCCCAGCCCTGTGAGGCTCAGTTTCTTCCCACTAAAGGTCAGAAGACCATTTCCACCTCTGGTCCTGGGACACTGACCTGCTGCGTCCCCCAGGGCCGGCTTCCTGCCTCCCATCTCTCTCCATTTCCTCTAGTTTTTGTCTTGAGGCTTTACTGATTTCTCATGTTCAGCGTCTCTCTTTCTAAAGGTCTAATTTCCATTTTACAGCATCATTTTCAGGACAATTTCTCTGATCAGTTTTCAAGACATGTCCTCTCCTCCCCTCGAGGTGTCACACATTTCTGATGACAATGAATTGATTACAAGGAGACAGGAGGAGAGTGCTCAGCTTTTTGGAGACTGACCAGAATTAGATGAGGTTTAGACTGCAGCCTCAAGAAACAGTATCTCCTGAGTTTCCCTTCATGCCCTAGCATAAGAAATAAAAATGATGGGCACATTTAACTGAGCTTTCACACAACTTAGCTTTTTTGTCAGTCTTGAATCTGGAGAAATGTAAGTAGTAGCTCACAGAAAAAAGTTTTTATCTGTGCCTTGTTATGGTGATTAACGATCCTGGGGATCATTCTGGGCTTAGCAAAGAAAGACCTTTGTCCTGGAAAACGCCTGAATCCCAGGAAATCCAGGACATCTGGTCACTCCACAGTCTCACCTGAGGTGTTCTGACCCCACAGAGCAGCCCAGTGGCCACAGTGGTAGGGTTAAGTGAGGTCTCTGTTGGAGGCAGGCTTTTGCACATTTACTTGGGGTTCCTGTAAATTTCATCCCTTGACCAAACAATGCTTCTGTTGCCAACAGACACAACCACAGGAATCCTGGGAGTCTCCCTGGCTGTGTCTGGATGTCACAAAAAATGGGAAGAACAAAATCCAGGCAGTTTCATGATGTGGTGATGATCAAACCCTGTCCCCAAAGGGTATGAAAAACAAATACCTCTTTAATTGAATTTAGTTTTCTTAACTTAGACTTCTTTTGGACTGAATTTATGCTAGCCTGTTTAGTCATCTCTTCAAGCAACCACTTAGTACAAAGGGTTGAAGTTTTAGCTTGCTTACTATCATGAAAAGGGTGAGAGAAAAGGCGATTATTTAGCTAAGAAGATGTATCCATTTTTTTAAGGACAGCAGTCAGGGAGTCAAACAACCCTTCCCATCTCTTCACTATTTCACAGTATTCACTATCTAAAGAGCTTCCCATCTTCTCTTCAGCCTCCATAGGACATAACCAAAACCAGATGCCTACCCTCAGCTGAGGCCCTCAAACAGATAGGCACCAAAGTGTTGCTGTGGCAATAATCTCTGTGTTCCACTTACTGCAGAAAAACAGAATGTAATCATGGGTTCCTTGGACTCCAGCCTTGCCATGTAGTTCCTGCAGCTAAAGAGTCCACTGCATGGAAAATCTGGCATACAATTACCGTTCAGAGCTCTGGAAGAATGCTAGCCTTGCACAGGTATTTTCTTTGTCTGGTAAGGCTGCCAAACTCCCTGACCTCGTCAACATTTTGGAGGGTAGGAGTTGTTACAGTTCTCAGTCCCCTAAGAGGCTGACCAAGTGCTGAGAGGGGCTCCCAGCTTCTCTGCATTCTGGAAAACCCACCACAGAGCCCCGCCCTAGTGTGTTTCCGGTAAGAAACCCGAGAAAAAAGCCTACTGTCTGGTCCCTAGCCTTGGCTGCCCACCCTCTGAAAAGCGACTGAGTCCTTGAGTCTCCTGGGATGTTCATATGAATGCCCTCGAAGCTTTAATTTGATAAGACCTCAGTGGAGACTGCTGAATGCCTGGGATTTAACAACATCATATATTATTCATTGTTGCTGTTGCCACAGACATGCTGATTTTGCCCCTGCTGAGCAAGGCACTTCTGCCCATGGGAACTTGACGGCTAACCACACTGCACGTTCTTCAGGCAGGGCCTATCCCAGAACATTCCAAGCTGTCTGCTCGCAAGTCTGCATTAACTCCCTCAATGCTGCATACACGGTGTCACTGAATGCTTTACCACCCGCCACCAGAGCCAGTCTTTTTAAGAATTTTGCCTGGGCTGTGTTTTTCAAAGTGCCTCTCTCTAGTGGGCATCTCTTCTTAATCATAGAAAGCAGATCTGAGTAAGTAAAACCAGGGCATCTGGCCTTTACTCAACATCAGGGCACTTAGGAGACTGGCGCCCTTGGACAAGTTTTTCCCGTTTTCATTTTATCTGAATTTTACAAGTCAGTCTTCTCCAGCTTAGTTTGTAAGCACCACTTTCAGAAGTCCACCAGCAGCACAGATTTTCAAGAAGGGCTATTAGCAACCACAGTGCCTTACTTTCATATCTAACATTTAAAAACTTTCTAAGTACTCACACATTACCATTACGGAAGGGTGGGTGTATATTTGAAAGGAGAGAATGTGCTGCTCTCTTCTCACGACTCAGAGGACAGATAAATTTTTCCCTTCTCAGGTGAACTAAGTGGAGGCTGAATCCATTATTTTGGTAACCAAGGAAAAAGTGGGGTTAAATGCTCTCTGCCTGAGTTAACCAGACAGCTCCACCTACGGGACCTCAGTTCCCAGACTGGGGATTGAGAACAGTTCTTTTCAGAGAGATAAAGTGAAGGTAAAAGAAGAAAAGGAGCCTGCTTATAGAATTTTCAGCATTAGTTAATGAAATTGCAGGGCCCCATTATTTCAGGCGATAAATTTAAGAGGAGTGTTAGCATCTAAGTCAGGACAATTTATATTTGGTCTACTGCATTTGCATAGTCACAATATGCCAATTTCCTCTTTATCTTTTTGGCAAACATTTCCTGACCCTTAGCTGGATCCCTCAGGATTCTGTATTCAGTTTTTCTCCTTGCACCAATAATCTTGTTTAAGACGGACGATAGGAATGTTTTGGGCTGAAAGTAATTTAGTCTTTGTACAGTGGAGTTCTAATCCCTCTGATGGGCACCATATCCCCCCAGCACAAACATTAGGTTTGGAACCTAAGCTGGAATGTTTTGGAAGGACAAGTAATTTAAATCAGAAGTGTTTGAATTCCCCCGTCCCCCACTCCCCTCGAACTTACTTGGATTCACAGTTAAGAGAGTTCCTTTTCCAAATGTCAGTTTATAGTTGCCACCTCCACTATTCTCACAGCCACAGAAGGCTTTACAGAAACCGGAACAGAAGCTGCTCTTTGCAGAAGGGTCCTGGGGGTCAATATGGTCTCGATTGCTCAACTCTTCATTAAACTACAGGTTTATAGGTTATTTAATAAGTCCAGAAGGCAGCTGCTGTAGGTGGGTGCTGGGGTTCCAGAGGGCAGTGGAGCCCTGCTATATATATATTTATATATGAGTATGTGTGTGTGTATGTATATATATATTTAAAGTTTTTAAAATTACA